CAGATCCGCTGGAAAGACACCATCAGCAACACCAACCTGTGGCAGAGAATCTCACAGCTTCTGGTAGAGGATGACATGATGAAGAGACTGTGGGGAATGAATAGGACACACCCTACCTAAGCCGCCAACCAGCATTACCAGACGGGCATTGAGGTGGAACCTCAAGGCAATCGGAGGAGTCGACCAAGAAACACTTGGCGACGTGACCTAGAGGTGAATATCAGTAAGTTGGATCACACATGTGGTCAGTTCGAGAGAATGGCACATGACAGAAGTCTCTGGCTATCTTTTGTGTGCGGCCTATACAAAAGCAGGAGTGACCTGCATAACTAACATAACACTATTACAGAGTACCCTTTATCTACAATCAAAATTGCAATGATTGATTTGTGCATGAAAAGTAATCCTTATGAGCAGGTGGTATTTGTATAGTATAGTTCGATTATATTGTGTGTTTAAAATTTGTCCATAATTGTACGTTTAAACAGAATGTTTACGTAGCAAGTGTTCATGGCTAGTCTTGTTTACAGTTCCAGTATGTTCCTCCGTTGGCAATATTCACAATGTGTTATATCAGGACATTCAAGGCTACTGAAATTCATTCAGAACATTGTATTGTTGGACATGTAATAGGATATTGGGATTCAATTCACAATACTATAAGTTCCTCTTAAATTTTTACTGTATTATTGGACATCTGATAGGATATTTAGAATTATTTGGGATTCAATTCACAATGCTGTAAGTTCCTCTTAAATTTTTACTGTATTATTGGACATCTGATAGGATATTTAGAATTATTTGGGATTCAATTCACAATGCTCTAAGTTCCTCTTAAATTTTTACTGTATTGTTGAACATCTGATAGGATATTTAGAATTATTTGGGATTCAATTCACAATGCTGTAAGTTCCTCTTAAATTTTCACTTTTCAGAAAGACATAAAAATGTAATTCAAATTATATGAAAACGATGAAATAGTTATTATGAATTTAATTTATAGTTGTTTTGCAGCACAAAGTATTGAAGTATGTAAACATTATGACGCCCTGCGTTACAAGCTTGGACAGGAAGCTCAATTGAGTCATAATTTACGCTTTGTGAAGGACAAGTTTGCAAATGAACTTTAGAATTTGTAATCTAAAACAATTTACTGTTAACAGGTAGAGTTTCGTGATTTATTTGTTTACGTGGATTTTCATCAATGATTATGAATTCTATTCCATGAAGCGTTGTTTTATTTGTTTTCTTCTATTCCCATGTGTTTTGTTTATATCCACAGGAGCTGATATCAATGCACGGAAGTCGGAAAAGGGCTCAGAACGCATGTTAAATCCTGTCCACATTGCAACTGAAATGTGTCATTCGGATTTATCTCTATTCCTTATTCAGAATGGCGCCGATGTACATACAGCGGATGATGCAGGGAACACATTATTGATAAAATCTATGCAGAACGGTTTGTTACCGGTGACAAAAAATCTTGTTTCAAAAGGTGTCGATGTCACTGTCAGAAATAAGAATGGAGACTTTGCCCTTTTATTTGCATTACAGTTTGGCAGACGATCCGTCCAACAGCGACTTCAGAAAGTAATGTCTGATACGTTACTGTCCTCGCGAGGATATCAGCAGTGCAGTGAATTGCCAGACATTTGTAGAACTTTTACTATGCTGATATCAGCAGGAGCAAATCTAAATGAAAAAGATTTGCAAGGATTTACAGTTATGGACTACAGTGTGAGATTTGCTTTATTACCTATACTAGTCATACTACTAAGACATGGTGCCCAGCCAAGGATGGACATTCAGTTAGATGCTCTGCAGACCTCAGACATTTTAGATGTTCTCTTCATATTCCGATCAATGGTTAGAACAGACTTATTCAACAAAATTCTTGGGAGAACATCATGTGAAATTCAAGAGTTATTTTTTCGTAATATGGAACCTACGTCTCTAAAAAGCTTGGCTCGTCTGGTTGTTCGTGATGTAGTTCAGAAATACGGTGATGGACAAACCTCAATAGTTCCGGATCTCAAAACTCTGCCTCTGCCAAAATCGTTGATAGCATATTTGTGTTACGAGGCAGAGAGTATGGAAGAATTAAACGTGCATAGCTAACATTACGTATAAGGGATTAATGAATTTGTTGATATTTATTTTGTTGTTTAGCGATTTATTTGTTTTATATGATTTACGGATTAGACAGATTTTGGCCTTAGCAAATATTTGTTTATTGTCTCAAACGTACGTACGGTGCTATTAATTCTAATATTAGGATCGTAAACTATTTATGTCGTACAAATGAGTAGTTGGGTCATTTTGTTTTGGTTTGGTGGTGAGGGTTTTTGTCATTTTTCATCTACTGCGTACAAAGGTTTCCCGTTTTGATCACTGGCAAAATATTTTTTTTAATAAAAAAATGAAAACCAATGATTCCCAAATAAATAGATATAGTAATGAGAAGACAGAGCGATTTCAGTGTTTCAAGGGGTCAGCTAAAATTCTTTTAAACTTGTTTTCCGTCCAAAGTAAAATGCCTTTGAGGAATTTAAGGTCACGCTATACATATTTTGTTTTAAAAATACTTTTCCCTTTCCTCTGCGTTATGAATCTAGGACATGGACTGGTTCAGGTATCTGAGAAAAAAAGAGATTGTATCATTAAATTATATGCGCGTTGTCCGTCTGTCCGAACAAACATTTTCATTTTGTGTACCATATCAACACTGGAGTTGACTTCTCCGTCCGCTTCAGTATTTTGTTTTCTTATATTTTTTAAAACAACATATTAGTGGGTGATACTTCTGGTACTGCCATTATTGACAGACGATATACGAAAGAAAATTATATTCATTCATTAATCTAAGGCGTTTATGGCAAAATATTATAAGCTTTGAATTTTACCAACAGAGAAACCTACAGAGAGGACGAAATTCATGTAGTTGTTTCTTTATTATACCAGAGAATCCCAGTATCACACATTAATAGAGGATGGTAGTGCCCGTAACAATAAACATTTTGCGACAATGACTATAGATATGATGTGGAAGACTGATATTTAATTTATTAAGAAAAATGAAAAAAGCATGAGTACATATTTGGTAATAATTTGTTTTGAATGTATGTTTGATCTGTTCTGTAACTTCATTGTGAAAGTATGACCTGATTGTGTTCACGCTGATTTTTGCATAAGGCATTAAAAAGAAAACAATTAGATCTTTCCTTTGCAACATGCCACAATGTATGTATGTATGTATGTATGTATGTATGTATGTATGTATGTATGTATGTATGTATGTATGTATGTATGTATGTATGTATGTATGTATGTATGTATGTATGTATGTATGTATGTATGTATGTATGTATGTATGTATTTATGTATGCTTGCATGCATGTATGTTCGCGCACCATTCCTGCCTTTGCTACCTAAGTCTCTCTCTTTGTTTTTATTTGCGAATATATTTTTCATGCAAATTATTTTCATGTATGATTTGTATAATGCCTTTTACCTGTTAAAAAAATTTGAAAGTTTATTATTAGATACAAAAACTATGCATATTTTATGTATTTTTTTTATTGGCAATTAAAGCTAAATTTCAAAGTTTTGCATAATAATTGAGTACAACACAATGATAAAACAATCACTACTGTTAATAAATTAAATATGCTTGTATAAGGAACTCACATGGACAATCATTGCAAAAATTTAAGGAACTAAATCGGACAATCGCTGCAGGAACTTAATTATGTTTCTATTCTGCCAACATAATGTCTGTCGTATTTTTCATGCCTTATCATCTTTTCCACATGAAGAAAACATGAAATGAAACATATAGTATTGGACATTACTGGTTTTGCTAATATATCTGTATTTGATGAGCATCTCTCAGTCCCCTCTGTGTGTGTTGTCTTCATATTGGGAGCTGCGTGAATATTGTCTTTGCTAAGTCATGTTTTTACTATTTTTTCTCTATAATTGGCAAATGGAATATTTCGTTCCTGATGTTCATGTGAAGAATTGTTGCAAAGACACTTAGTAACTCCCACCCCATCACACTATAAACATACATTTTAAACAATATATGTTTCAGCTGAGGGTTAAAATCAAGCCAAATAAACATTGAGGCCTAAATCAAGCCACAAACATTAACAAAAGAAGTTATAACTCCTACTGCATATATTATTCCGCCCTGCCGCTTTCTCACACAGAAACGAGCCAAGCATGCCGCGAATGCTACTGGCATTTCAAAGGTTAACATTATCTTCAAATAATTAGCATAATACGTATGCCACTCGACATTGTGGTTACTACTGATTTGTACAAAATTCAATTTCTTTTTTCGATCCTAAGGTAACCGTGCGTACATGGGAGAGAGTCTTTACGCGTTATGAATTTGTAGAAAATTTAGTACACTAAGCTAGAATAATTGATGAGTGCCTACCGCCCATTAAGTTATATTTTAAAATGTATAATTTTTATAAAGACTAATATTTATATAGCACATAAAAAGAAAACATGTCCGTGTTAGACTGATCGGTAAATTGTGGAAACTAAATCGAGTTTAAATTGGATCAATACATAAGGTACATCTAATTTTATACAGGTAATAAGGACGTTTTTAACAGGTACAGTCAGTGCAATATTAAATAACTGCATTTGCAAATATGTGTGTATAAATACATTATAAAACCAGTGATCTGATTATTGCTTTAAGTATGTCGTGTGAGTGTGTGTGTGTGTGTGTGTTTGTGTGTGTGTGTGTGATATTTTGGATTTTTTTACGTAGCTTTAACAATTTTTCAGTCCTATCTCTATGATATCTGCAGTTGGCAGTTTATAGTGATGTTTAGCACTGGGGTATCATGCCGCAGACATGTAGCATCATGTCCCACCCGGTGACATTATCCTGACAACAGACCGACCAGTCCTAACACTAACTTCTTAATGATGAGCGCTAGCGAAACAGCTGTTAGTACTATTTTTGTAAGTCTCTGGTATGACTCAACCAGGGATCGAACCCACCTTCCGCATCAGAAGCAGACGCTCTAACCACTAGGCCACCGGAGCGGTCAGCTTTAAGTAAAAAAAAGTAGTCGTAATCATTGATATCATTGTATGATTATAGGCTAAGTAATAGGTTTTATTTAAATACAAAACATTACACATAACAAATCCACGAACATAAATTTGGAATGCCTATATGCTGGAATAAATTTGGAGTATGCGCATTTGGTTATAGCGCCTAGTGTTAAGGAATTCTTAGATTTGTATGATTACTTGTTTGAATAGCCCACGGTAATTAGCCATTGGCTAGGAGCTTGCGCCTTGGAGTGAAGTTTTAGTGTGTGTCTCCATATTGTTATGATCTACTTTTTGTAGTAATTTCAGGTCAAATCCGCATGAGTGTCCCTTTCCTGGAGTACCATATAGTCCCTATTAAAATCTAGTGGTATACGCTGGTGGTGTGACTGCAGTGTCAGTATTTACCGTAAGAAACCAGTAAATTACACAGTGGAATAAACAAGAAAGGACTCTGCAGATACAGTTAATGTCGCCATAGTGGCAAATGTGATGCAGTTGTATTGGCAAAATGTGCCTTGAAACCATGAACTGACTGACCTAATGTGGCGTAGTTAAAAAAGTTCCCTGTGTTAAGGAAAATTGTATGTTATAAAGCGTGAATTGCTAATGGTACGGAAAGTAGATAAAGAGAAACCATGCAGATGTGCGGTTCATAGATATCTGGCAAGTTGTGAGAACTGTGGTCTTGAGTAAAATTAGAATAAAATTATGTATAAAAGGGACACGTCGGGCTTTCTAATTTACAGCTGAGGTTTTATAAAAGTCTTTGGAAATTTGATTAAGCTTATGATTTCTAACGGAATCGCGCCAGGGTTTGACACTGTTCGGTCAAGAAAATACCTTTGGCTTGTAACAATACGAATATCGATAAGCCAATTATAAAGATCGTAACATTAATGTATAATGTTAAAACTCTGTGGTACAATTTAGTAAAATTTGTAACATATAAATTTATGGTGATACTATGCCTAAAAATCATGAAAAATAAATTAATTAAATTAACTTACTTATCAAAGTCAAAGTCAAACTTGTTTTTATTATAAAAAGTAGTATATATATATATATATATATATATATATATATATATATATATATATATATATATATATAGATATATATATATATATATATATATATATATATACACATATATACATATATATACATATATATATAGATATATACAAAGATATATATATATATATATACACACATATAGACACATATATATATATATATACACACACACATATATATACATATATATATACACACACACACACACATATATATATAAATATATATATATATATATATATATATATATACATATATATATATATATATATATATATATATATATATATATATAAGTTAATAACAAATCAATGACAAAAGAATTGCATATTCCAAACCCACCATAGATCTACAAAATTAATTATTGCTTGACTATAGGAAAGAGATTTATTATGTACCTTTTTCTTTGCTGTACAGAAAAATGTACCAAAAAAGTAGTAACATATAGTGCAAAGTAACCCCACGGGATATATACATAACATACATACAATATGGTAATTCATTTTGAAGTGATAATAACAAAGCAACATACGAATCTTATTATTGAATCCACTCAAAATTGTCATTTTACATACATTTACGTTGTTTACCCCTAGTAGACTGATCAAAATATCTCAATATATATCGAGAATTTGATTTTTCTATCATTGATTTAAATAAAGAAGTTTCAAAGATTAAATTTTCATTGGTAATGCTGATTCATTAAAATATTGGCTATTTGTTGAGTCATTACAAATACATCTAGTAAAACTTTGAAATGTTTTGACCTGCACTCTGAAGACAACTGGAAAAAGATAAAAGTAAATAGTTGTATCGAATAGAACATTAGTGTCTGTTTGATACTTCAATTTTTTTATAATTTACTTTAATCAACAAGCTTTCAGATTTCAATGACATGCTAACTGAATATGACATGTAATTTTTACGCCTTTTAGAAACATGGAAGAATATTTGTCTTGATGTAAGAAATGAAAAATTAGTATGGTTGGATTTATATTGTAGTCCCATCTAAGCATTAAAATAAACACATGTCTCTTTCTGATAAGACCATCTTAAAATAAAAAGTCAGCGAATATGCATACTATATTATCAAAAATAACTAGTTTATAACTAAGATCTAAGACTTATTATAATGGAGTTCATTTAAAACGCACAATAAATAAAAATAAATGACAGGAAGGTCTACTTACGTGTAGGAAGAATATGTTTAAGACATAATCACCACGATTCGGAAAAATAACTGTTTTTTTTTAAATTTAAAACAAAAATATCAATCAACTGTAGCGCCAAATTAATTGACGCAGAGAATAAGATACTCCGAACTGGAAAACTGGTTGACAGAACAATCTACATATTATATATGCATTGCACTAGCAATCAAGGAAAATATTTTCATATACAAGTCTGTATCTGGACGGATAGTTGTAGGTTGACATTGTAGATATGCAAGTGTAATGCAACGTGAGACAATACAATTACAGTTCAATGAACGAACATAATTTTATAACTGATTATGGGTGCTTTCTTCATGCCAAACAATTCGGTTAACATTATTGGTGCCGTTATCATGCGAGTTATGTAGATAATATGGACGCCTTTTTCAGGAAAACTACATCACTAATATTATGCATGCCATTTTGTGTCAAATATGGAATTACTATCTTTATACCAGAAATCTGTGATATTTAAATTATACAATTGTGGTGAAAATAATTCTAATAGTAATGTAATAACAATCGTATCAGTTTTCAACTTCTTAGCAAATTCTTGCGATGCTTTCAATGCATCTTTTCAGATTTATTTGGATAGCTCTTAAAACAAAAACAAAAAGAGATATCCAAAAGTAAATATTGTCAAAAAATTAAACCACGATATCGCTATGTTTATTTTTGTGTTAAATGGTTTTTCAGTGCGTAAATGCAACTTTCAAGCCATCTTCAATCATCGCCTGTCTTTTAATAGGATCTGACACTAAATTCAAATAGTTTTTGAAAAGAAAACATTCTTAACAATTTTCTGTGAGAAATTACGGATTGCAAAAACTACAATAGGTTCATATATTTAGACAAAGCTACATATTTATTTAAAGCAATTTTTTCATACAAAGAAATATTTCTTCTATGCCATCTATTAAGAGTTGATAAAATCTTCTAAAAAATTCCAGATGAATTTAAATTACAAATATCATATACTAGACTTGAAAACATTACGCCTAAAATTCGAAAAGGCTCTTGATACCAATCTACATTTCTCGTGGCATAACCTTACACTTGATTAAATAATGACCAAATCGAAATTTCCCTGGTCATTTCTAAATTGCTTTTTACCGTTGATATTCTTAAAGTGTTGTAACACGAAGATAGTTCACTTCCTTTTTAAAACATATTTGAATACCATTTACACATTGACTTGATTCATTTTATGAATAGTAATTCATTTAATTGTTTTATTGTTTTTTATCATTTTCCCCAAGAATCTCAACTCACAAAAAAATATAAATCAAGAAATTTGATCTACTCGTTTAAAACCAAATTGGACATTTAGAAAGAATTCGCAATATACATTAATTATAAAATATAAAATATTTTTTCAGCTTTAGTTTGGATCCCCGATATAAAAGTATATAAAAGTGTTATCAATAAATTTCCGAGAACTTGTATAAAATATCTTTTCAAAACGTACGAATAAAGTAAGACAAGGGCTATCAAGCCTTCTTGTATTATGGTATAATGTACATGAACATTCTTTGCAACTCAAGCTGCACGAAGGTATCTACATTATGTGTAATTTTTTATAACTGTAAATTGTAGTGATTATCTATCAAGAAGCTATTACATAAATAATCTTTGTACAGAGATATAGATTCGATTTTAAGTTTGTTTATGATCTATACACAAGATATTATTTCAATTTTGGACACTTTTGGCGTGATTTCTCTGGATGATAAAGTCAGGTAGGTTCTTGGAATAAATAGGTTTTTTTCTAACTCGATGCGTTAGTTTACATGAGTAGTTTTTGTTAAATATCAACTTGAGTGAGAAGATCTGTCACGTGGGGAATATTGCGACATATAGTCATAATATACTCTAGAAGGTGTGTATAACGAACGAACTGAGCAATTAATTTCATTCCTATTTTGGATTAATTCCTATTTCGGATTCTTGTTATTTATGATAAAAATCAGTCTGCAGATGTGTTTAATGTTGTATTTAGACAATCTCAGAGAAGACATTTGTTATGAATATTTATTACAATTACAAAGTGCTCATAGGACTATATAATTTTTCTGGGACCATTGCTATTTATTCAAAAGAGGTCCAGACAATGCAATAGTGATAGGTACATTCGAGGATCTGAAATTCATTCGGAATATTCTTTTCTTTTGGGCTTGAATAAATGATAATGATTATTTTGGATTAAACTCATAATAATGTAATTTCCTCTTATATTTTAATTTGATAACATTGACAATGAAATTACTTGTAAAATTTGAGAGAATCTGATGGTATTACTTTTTTATGTTACGTAGTTTATGTCCATAGAGTCGTAATTAAATAAAAGTTTCTTATATTCTATCCAGTAAATCTATCAAATATAAATTCCCATTAATCTTCATGCATTAATTCCATTAAAAGCATATATAAAAGCATTAAATTATAATTTATTCGGGATTATAATGGAATTCATTAAATGTAATTGTACTTGTGTATGATCATGGTAATTTACTGTTATTATAATTTTTAAGATACATAGGTACTCAAACACAAAAATTACCTCTGAAAAGTCCCTACGTAGCCGTACAAGGATAAACCCGTGATGGGAGTTGGGGACTGTGACTGGGATCAAAATGCCTCTCCTTCCTTCAACTGTTTGAGATTTTAAGATAAATAAAACCGTATTCTATTATGTTAT